TTCCCTGCTCCACCAGGCATTGTACATTGTACCTGCGCACATGTAGGGTTTGTACATTCTTGATCCACCCTGCCACAGGTTCACTTAGGAGCTACATGTACAGACTACACTGCAGTTGATGTATGCAATTCTGCTCGTAGGGGAGACATGAATAGTCCCTTGAAATGCAGCAAGCACCTGAACTTGAGTGCTGAAGACTGAACTGTGAGTGCCTACATGCAGCTGACCGGTCACATTAGCTGGATACTGGAAGTAATGCTTGGACATAGATATGTAAGCAGGCAGTGTTTTGGGTGACGAGCTCCATTTTCGAACTTGCTAAGGAAGCCATCCATGCAAAAAGCATAAAGAGGCAAAAAGGAAAGTGCGTGAAAAAGAGACAAAACAGAAGAATTAGAACCTCCCTTCAAAAAGAAGAAAAAAGAAAAATGGAGGGGGGGGGACGCACCAGGTGCACTCCCCTTTGGATCCACCACCACTCAATGGGACATCTTGACCACTTGGACAAATATTGTGCTCAAAAAGGGTACAAGTGCTGATAATTTTAAAGGTCACTGATGGTGCTGTTGTGTGGAGGGCACCTATCTTGGAAGTCAAAAACCAGCTGACCGTTATCACAGGCGCATAGTTGGTTCTGACATCCAAAGCATTGTGCTCTATTCGTATTCCTCTGTGCATACTGCATTCCTGTGCCCTATACAGTCTGAACTGACCTCCATCTTTTGTCAAATCACCTTGTAACCTTGGGCGGCAGAAGAACATGTACTGTGCATGTCGGCGTACACATGACTGTGTATCACTGTGACTTTTGGTCTGTGCTTTTCACCATTGTGTAATTTTTTTTAACTAGCCCAGAAGACCTGAAAAAACAACCTATAAAAAAAAAGAGCTATAACATTACGCCTTACGGTGCACATGTGGCCTGTGAACATGTAGATAATGGATCTGAACACACTGAAGTCCTTTGCTCAAGCAAGCTACTTGTTCGTGTATTTGCTTAATGTACCGTTGCTTATGGAGTCCCCACATATATATATACAGCAACCAAATGCATGTGAGAAAACACATTACCCCAACCTTGGAGAAGTACATGTAGCCATGTACATGTACACTCTACCTGTCCTTCTAACTAATCATATTCAGTTAATCTGAAAGGGTGGATACATGTACTGTAACCAATCATGTTCATTTAATCTGAAAGGGTGGACGCCGAACACATTATTGCTGTTAGAATGCTTGGCACTGGCAGCAGTCTGGTGGCTAAGTACAGGTACATGCACATTGAAACGTGCAGTGCAAGCCCTTGTACATTGTGAACAATATGCACATGCATGCACACCGTTCCACCACAGTTATGGTTACATGCATGTACATGTATAGTCATCGTTTTGCCTATTTTGTGTGAACCAAAAAATACCACGGGGACAAATTTTCGTTCTGACAGTTTGGCCCATAGTTTCCCAACAAAAGAAATGGTTCCCTCAACCCTGTAAAAAGCCTACCTACATGTACGTACACATGCCTGCCCCCCTTACACATTGTGCCGTTATGCACGTTATTCACTGTGCTTATTGAAGAGGGTAAATTATTCTCTCTGGTTTTTGTCCCTATCAAAGGGATACTTCTACTGCTCGAGTGGTCATTGGTTTTGGTCTTGGAGCTGATCTCAGGAATTGCGACACAACGTTGACGAGATACAGTGGCAAGTCTGTGTTGATTGGTCAGCAGCTGATTAGTTGCATTTACTTAGTGGCAGTATTCATGATTGAAAAAGAAAGGAAAACATTGCATGGTACATTGTGGCTGCACTAATTTCGGGAAATTTGAGGAAAAGCCTATATGTTGCCCCTAACCACTATTTAGTTAAGTCAAGAACATTCAAAGCACTTGCCTAAATCATGAAATACAGTGAAGATTTCGTTTTAAGTGCACAGAGAATGTTTGATGTGAGACCTCCATTAAGGGGTTGTTTGGTTTAAGTTGTGCTGATTATATAAGGCACACAAACTAATTGGATGATAGATACATGAACTCTATGATGTACATGTATGACAGTGATTTTCCATAGAGCAAAATGAAGTGTTCCACTCCGTCATGTTAATGATGCATGGTGTAACTTAAATGACCCAGAACTGGACTGCTGAACAACACTAAGGTAGGTTTCCCAACCATCTTGGAAATCAGGGAACACCTCTACAATGAGTTACTGTTTTTCCAGTCGGGTGAAAATCAGGAAATTTGACAGAAATGCCCCGAATAAGAGTCATGGATTTTGATTTTTCCAAAAGAGAGAGTGGTCAGTCTGGCACATTTCACTGCAACTGCATCGGAGAAAACTCGGGAAAACTCAGGGAATGTTGTTTTCACACAATGCCGAGGACCCTGCAAGAAATTATGCCGCAACGTACAGTCTACAGGCAGCGTTCATAAGTCATGCATGTACATGTATGTATGTTGCAATGTGTATTAGAATGCTTCAGGGTTTTTAAAGGTGGTGCAAATTCCTGGAGGTGTACGTACATGTACGAAGCTGAGGAAACACTGAGGAAAGGGTATGAAAATCATAGGACGCACTGCTGGGACAGGCACATGTGTGCTGCCTTTATTTTTGGGATGTGCCAAAGATGTTATTAGCGTACATTCGGAATATTTTGGCATCATAAAAAAAGCTGCCGTTAAACCGTTTTAAGGAGATAATCTGTGATAGCGGTGTGCCCTCTTAAATGCCCTCCAACCCCCCAGATGCTGTTCGTGTGATGAATACCACAGCTTGATAGGCTCAAACAAAAAAGGGCAATTGAACTCATTGCGCACTGGCGCAGTCTGGTGTACTACATCCCAGTAACCTGCCAGTGCAATAATGTGGAAAATGCACTTCTACATTGTAACACGTTAGCCTGAAACTGGCATGAGAATTCACGAAGAGCTGATAATGTATCGAGGGTGCACGTATGTTTATGTTATGCACATTGCGCAGACCAAGCGTGGCACCTGACTTGAGCTAAGTTTGACCAGGGAATTTAACCAGTGTAGAATGCACTGCGATAATGGCACTTATGCTAATGCAGAGATTATGGCAGCATATGAACGTTCACCTGGAGCGGGGTGTTTACGTGCCATGCACTATGGATACATTTTGTGTGCTTATGTTTCCCCAAACACTGTAGTTGCACGATGCCATATTGGGCGAGCCCAATTTTTGTTTTAATGGACTGTTTCCTTGTCTGCCCCCCGTCAGTTTTGGAGGCTGCCATTTTTTGCTCATCTCCTTCATGTACATGTACCACTACCTCAGGACTTAAATGGGAGGGGGGGCTATTTATAACCCCCCCCATCTACATTGTGCATTGGGTTGAGACCCTAGCACAGATGCATGTGTTTGACCGTGTTTATGATCAGAGATCACAAATTGTTGTGAATTAGGGATGTTCATCGATGGAATAGGCCAGGCTTGAACTTCATTTACAAGTCACCTGACAGAAAACCAGTTCTACAAGACCGTTCTGGTATTTCTTGTGCGTATTGTATATAAGGCCCCCCAAGTAGTTATGCTTTCGATTACATGCCTCTCAAAAATTGGGTCGGTACATGTACTGGTAGGTTGGAAAAATTTTTTGTCATCGGTTTTTTGTGCTGATTGAATGGCATAAATGGGAACGAAAGCGACCAAAAATTGCCACAAAAAGTGACAAAAACGTGCCTTAATATCTATAAAAATTTCTACAGTCGACAATTCTTAAGAATTATGGACAATTTACACTGCTATGCACAACGCTAGTCAGGTAATCACAATGGCAAACTGGCCAACGATGTCTGTGTATTGTGTGGTAAGCATGCGTGATGCATCCAGACGGGTGGGTGATAAACCTTGTGCCGCTGCAGGAAACTTTGTGGAAACAAGCTCAATTCAAGTACGAGCAAAACAACTTCAAAGTAAACTTGTGAACATAGAAAATACACACATGGACAAGAGACTAAATTCTGTGAATTAACTTGCAGAAATCTTGCAACATCGATGTTTTTTTGACCTGCAGCTGTAGGGTTGCATGAATGTAAGGCTGGTGTAGTGTAACGACATCATTCGTATATAGTACACTGATGGCCACATTTCCATCACGTGTTCTTTTGCATGTTCGTGGTGCAGTGGGAACCAGCACAGCATTGCTTTAACGCATTGAGCTTTGCGCATGTGTTTTCAACATTGACAGTGAAATGCCAAGGGAACGCATGAAACTAAAGGAAGTTTATTTTAAAAGTTGCAAATGTAAGTAGAAAAACATAAATAAAAGTGTTTTAACATGATAAAGGGTTGTTCAGACGTCTTTTGTAAAGACAGAAACGACAATAGGATTTTAGTTTTTTTATTTAAAAATTTGTTTTTAAATACATTTTTGGAACTTGCTGATAAAAATTTTAGGGTAGCGCAGAAAAATCTGGATCTGTTGGGAAACTGGAAGCAGAAGTTCTTTTTTTTGGCCTTAAGACCAGCTTTACAATTGTAGGTTGCTTCTATCACATCAGATGAATTAAATGTTGCTGGTTTTTGTGCACCCACACAAAAGATGAACACTGAACATACGCTGATGTTGGTTAAAAGGTTGAATTTGTAGTAACAACTTTCTGGGGAGGTTCCAGTGTTATCCTACATGTACATGTAGACCACCACACTTGTATGGTCCTGGCCTGCACAAGACCGACATTAAATTCGTTGGACGTGGTCTCAGTGATCCAATGCAATTCAAAACCCTGATGGGCAGTATGGGAAATGGTTAGTGCGTGAAGCGGGGGTTATTACGTCTCTGCATGTACATATGCATGCACGCACCATGGACAACTCAGTATTTCCAACTGCAAAAGAAGAAGTAATCATCCCAGAAGTTGGACCAGATGCAGGTATCGATGATCATACTTGGCCACTGTGTGATGAGGGATAATGTTGTTCAGTGATGCGTGGATTGCTAATGTTTCCCTTTCTTTTTGTCTGCTGACTTTGTGGACAGTGTGGAAAGCAGGATGTCTGGAATGGATGAGCTGGGCCCACAGGATCACGCCGAAGGAGAGAAAACTGCCTCAGTCGTAGCATCGTCATCCCAGCCCTCGCCGATCGCCTGTGACAAGTAAGGATAACCGGGGGGGTGGGGGGGAGGGGAAGGGAAAGGCAGTGTATGTTTGAGGTCGTCGGGGCCATGTTGCACAGTGGCACCGCCCTCCTTCCCCAACAGTTGAACTCGACCTTGACTCGCAGGAAATGCAATCTAGGAGGGGCTGATCAGCTTTTCCCCTATGTGGTTCCGTAGCAAATTTGGGGTGGGGGGGATGGTAGGAGGGGGGATGCGGCAGATGAGAGAGGGTGCTGTGCCTTGCTCTCGGCCCGTGCAGTGCGACCCCAGCAAGCACTCGAAAGATATTTTTGATCACTAAGAAAAATCAGATCCTTACAAAGAACTGGAACAACACCCCTGTTTACGTCAGACTTGGTTCATTTGAGCAAGGTTCAGATAACATCCGTTGTTTTGCTCATTAAGAAAAGGAAGGATATCAGTAGAGCATGAATTGACGGCAGTGTGTATTCAAAAATAGAAAATGAGTAACACTGGCACCAAAAATGTCATTACTGTGCCCCGCCCATGTTGTACATGTACATTGTACATGTGCTTGGATTATGTTCAAAACATGCACTAATCTCTGAGCAGATGCCTTAAAGTGGAATCCACCTATACTGTATGTACATGTACATGTCCTTCCCACAGATTAGTTCATTGTGGTGTTGTCATCGGGAGACACAGATTGACATGTCAAAGTGGCCAGGTTCCATGTGAGACCTGATACATGCATGTGCTCATTATTGCCCTGTAAAGTTCTGCAGACAGACACTATGCGTAGTACCAGTCGTCTACAACACAAACGCCTTTTATATTGGGGCTGTGTCCAAATTTCGTATTTTGCCGCTGTGGCTTTTTTAGTCATGAACATGCTCCAGAGCACGCATGAAGCCATACATGTAGATCGTGTACCGCAGTACCAGTACCGGATGGCAGATTGACGTTTGTAGGAAAGAGTATGTTGCTGTGCTTCTCAGTCCCTTAGCAGGTGAAGGAGTGAAGATTGTTTATGGTTAGGCCATCCCTCCCGGGGCCCATCATAATCCCTCATGGAGATTTTGGAGGGTTTTGAAGGGTTGGGGAACATAGAGCTGCTCCAGTTATCCTTCCCGAGATACCTGACACCCCCCCTGAAAGTTGACGCACCAAGAATGTCCCGTTAGTTTACTGCCCAGTGGGGTCCGGAAGGGTTGCCGGGGGAGTTAAGGTTAAAGCTTCTTTGTGCAACTTTTACAGTTCAGGTTGGCACATTTAGTAGCAACACGGTGTGCGATCGGCAGTGGGCAGAACTCTGGAACTTTTTCCACTGCACAAATTTCTTAACGTTAAAACATTTTGGTCTTCACCAGGAACTCAACCATGCTAGAAGAGAAGAGCATTCACTCTGTCAAGCGTTTGTGGAATACAGACGCCGACGAGGCTGTCGAAACGTCTAAAAGGTGAGGGATCTGTGTTCAGTTTCTAACAGTCTGTCATCTGTTTCACCAGAATTGTGATCAAAATATTAATGGTGTGTTGGAGTTGATGTCAGAAATTGCGACACAACCTTGATAAGACACAACGGCAAGTCTGTTGGTCGGTCAGCAGTTGATTAGTTGTGATGGAGTAGTTGTCAGCTGACCCGTATTAATTCAACAATGTGGCAGCTACCAGGAAGGGATTGCCTACAGACTGCAAGGCACTCCTATGTCGGTTTATTAACACTGAGCTTGCTAACTTGAGTTCCGAAACCCATCAGTTATTCATTTCTAAATATTGTTTCATGTAATGGGCTTGTTTTAAAACTTCTTCAACTCTGGTGAAGCAGAGACGCGTTCTTCCCGAGGAAACATTGTGATTTTCGGACCCGAAATTAGGGAGACCAAGATCCTGAAGATGCACCTCCAGACTTCTCCCATAGATTCGGCATTGAGATCAGTGTCAAGAGCTTGTTCTCACACTGCGAATGAGCAATTCTTAATCAACTGTGAGACCTCATACTGGACATTCCTAATCTAACTTCATAGTGTTTGAGAATCTTGCCCTTAACTAATTTTAGCTCTCAGTCAATCAGTTTCAGAGCTCCCTACCATTTTTTTGGGGGGGAGGGCAACTACGTAAGTAAACTGAAAATATCAGCATCGTGGGGGATTAAGCACTTGTACTTGATTCTGCCGAGTTAAGCCTTATTTTGAGCTTGCAGTTTGCATTATGGATTAAAGTATCCTATACAAGATGGAAACTGATGAAAATAAACTTCTGATTGCCCTGGTTTCCTCTCCTTATATGGTACAGGTCCATATATTTTTCTTAAAGATGTTAGATTGAAGACAGGGCCTGTGATTGGTATGCAGCTGGTCTGTAAGTGGACGCTGTACGTGTGTGCCCATTTGATACTGTACATGTACATGCATGATTACGTATCTGTTTTCTGTGCAAGGTCACCTCTTTGACCAGGTTTCCTGGTGTGGCTTCTACAACAGCGCCACCATGAGGCTAACCTTGGCTAGTCCAGGAAGCTGGCATTTACAAATCTCTAGAGGGCCTCTCTTTGGAGAAGGCTGTTTACAAGCACTAGTGTGTGATGTTGGCAAGATGATGTTTGTTGTAGGTCATAAAGTTGATCAGACATAAAAATGTGATTTGAGGAAAAAGCATAATTTTTCGTGTTACTTGCATTTTGAACTTGAAAGCTTAATTTGCTTAAACTTTTTCTACAGAGCACGTTTGTCAGAATCTGAGGACAACAGAATTTATGATAACGTGGCAAATGAGAAGCTATCTCATGCCATCGTTGCACCCGTGCAAAACCAAGACAAGGACACAAATGGTGATGGACGGAGTGACCATATACCTCAGGACACCAGCAATGGTGCGCTAGAGAATAACTCCCCACTGACGAACAACACCAAGGATTCATGCCTACTGGAAACTGTTGACCTTAGGCCAGATGTACATGTATCTCAGAGGGAGACTAGTTCAGTTCCCAGGGAGCCCAGCAAGAGTCGGAGTGAGACTTCAAGTACGTCAAGAACGGAAACTAGCACATTGAGTAACAGTAACCAGGAGGAGTCTATGGATGTAGATTCAGACTCGCCAGCAAACAGTGCACCGGTCAAACCCTCAGGATTAGAAACGCAAAGAACAGAAGCAACTGATAATAGCAAAGAGCGTCTTCAAGACTCGGACGAAACGGAATCAACAGATCTGTGCGGGGAGGCTTTGGAGCCTAAAGCGAAAGTCTCAGCAGCTGAACCAGAGGAAGTGGCGGGCGTACGACCAACAATCACCAACAACCAAACAGGTGCTTCAGGAACTCGGGATGTGAAACCCAAACAGTCTGTCTCGGAGACCCCCTCAAGAACCGAGAACGGAAGTGGCACGCAGAAAACAGTGCAACGCGATCTAGAAAATGGAGACGGGAAGCCCCAGACAGGAAATACTGCTGACCGCCAAAACATGGTCAAGGAGACATTGGGAGAAAAGGTTGAGAACAGTGTGGACTTGAAGGAGACTAGAGACAAGATGAAAGGAGACAGTACAAAAGAAGTTCCTACAAGCACAGGGTAAGTTGGACAGTAGTTTTTGAAGGCAGTGCAGACAATCCTGTTGGCTCTGTGGCTTTTTCCTTCCATTTTTAGGGACTCCATTCAACAGAGTTTTTGCTCTATCTGCCATCAGGGTCATTTTGAAAAGAGACATCTTTGAAATTGATATCAAGGTATTTTTATCTGTTTGTCAAGAAATTTGTTTCACTCGTGGAAATAAATGAATGTGTATTTAAATGTGCAAAACCGTATGTCATATTAACAGGGACAAAGAAAAATATTGGACCCAAATTTATTGAATGACCCATTGTTGAGGGCAGTTTTTGGTTGAAGTGAGGAGTTTCTACAGTACAGGTCAGAATTTTAGCCGACACTCTAATATGATCAGTAAACCTGACACACATTTCGATACACACTTCGTGGTTTTTACTGTGCATTGCTGGTCCAATGCATGATGAGCCTGACTCCGGATCTCAATATGTCGCCAGGGCTTGTGACCACAGACTGCAAAGGTCGCCGACAACATGTAGTGAGCCACTTCACACGCAGAGCCGTCGCTCCAGCCTTATGTATGCATGTACATGTATGGCAGTGCACTGAATAAGTGACTTTATGTAGCGCTGGCCGGCAAGATGACCGTCACAAGTATTGAAATATGTACAGTCGTTTCCTAGTTTTGGAGCGAGAAAAGTTATTTGGTCAGGTTACATCTGAAAAAGTCAAATTTTGGTGAAACTGGCTGGCAGTCACACTGTGTGTGTTTGGATACAACAAAACTTTCTCCAAATGTACATGTAAGCCTTGAATTTAAACTCACAGGATCGACTGAAGTGACGATGTTTTTCCTGCTGGTTCTGGACTGGTTTTTAAGCAATTCCGGATTGCCCGAGAAACGTTTTCACAAGTAAAAAGTAACCACGAAAGAAATCCATTCTTCAGCCAGGACCATTATAACAAGCTGATTTTCCTATGAACCATTTCTTAATTTAGGGAAGTTGGAGTCAATACACGTTGACACGCTAAGCGTGTTTGCGTGTCGGCTAAAATTCTGACCTGTTCTGTACCCAGGATGATCATAGAGGAGCAGAGACATGGCCTGAATCTGGTGTCTCCTGAAAGGCGGTCATTCATGCCAGGGACACTGGTGAGATTGTGTCTGTTCACTGTCAGGCTGAGAGTCCTCAGAAAAGATCTCTTCAGATATTGTTCTTAAAAACAGAAATTTCCTCTCTTTTCTGTTTTGTGAAAGATACAGGAGTGTGGTACTGCTTGGGTAACCCACAGGGTAGCCTGGTGTTAATGATTCTCGACTCACGAGTGAAGGGTTTGGGGTTCAAGTCCCGCTGCTGGCCAATAAAGAAGGAAAGAAGTGATAACACTGTATTTTACTGTCTATAATTTATAATTGTGATCCAGCCGTGTTTGACGTTATTTCAAGAGTACGTCAGACTCATTTGCCAGGGTTTTCAAGCTTTGTTCATTAATGCCATTTGCTTAATCCTAACCACCCCAAACCTGCCATACTCCAACAGCAGGTTTTGTCAGGTTTGGTACTGTATCTGATGAACTTGTTGAATTTCGTGAGACTTGGGATGAAAGGCTTAGGGAGATGGTGTTGGATTCTGTGTGAGTTGGGACACACACGGGTCATTGTGTACAGTGTCTGGCTTGCTTTACCAATTGTTGGACTATGCTTGATTTTGTCAGGTTTGGTACTGTTCAGTGCAAGTCATCCTATACTGCATAGACCCCTCCATACCATATCACTCAAACACCAAGGGGCTCATTCTGTTGGAGTTTATCAGGTTTGGTACAGTGACCTGCATGTACAAGTACATAGACAAGTACATGAACCTGTTGGATTTTGTGAGGTTCAGTGTGCTTTTTAGTACAGGAGCCTAGGGGGTTAGGGTTAACAATGCCAATATTGAAGAGTTTTGGAAGTAGTAGAAGAGTAGGGGATAAGCAACATTCATGTAAGCAGCAGAAGAAGTTCAGTACAAGTGACACGTGTTGTCAGTACGTGTAAAACCTTTGCAGTTACTCAGTGTGTTCATCACAGGTGAATTATTTTGGGCAGAATTTTTGGCATATTGTGCTTTGTGCAATTGTGCACCATGCTGTACTGATCATGTGGAAGGCAAGTTGTAATTCAGTATCTGGAACTGTTTGTTTGATGTGTGGCAAATTTAGGATTTGTGGTTTCATTTCCTGCCCGTAGAAACAAGGAGCACTCCAGATCATCTTCACCCCAGGATGATGTGATTGTCCTGTCAGACGATGAAGTGGATGGCACTCCAGATGGTGACGATACAAGCTCCATCGACACGGGACCTTTCTCGCCCCTTCCCGACGACGACCCCCTGGGCAAGTTGACGGAGGAGGAGCTGGCTCATCGGGACAAAGCCATCCGGGACCTCCAGGAAGAGTTGCGGACTGAGGAGGGCAAACTGCTGCTGCTTAAGAAGCTGCGACAGAGTCAGCTCCAGCCCGTCCAGGTCCTGCCCAAGGAAGGGGCTGCGGCTGCCACTGACTCGGCCGGCACCAGCGCTGTACTGCCTCCCCAGAAGCCCAATCCCACGCCCGTTATCAATGCCACGCTGCCGCAGGTACTCCGCACCACCCCAGGCGCCAAGATCCAATTGTCGGCCCAGCAGCAGCAGCAACAGCTGCAGCACCTGAAGCAGCTGCAGCAGCTCCAACAGCAGCACCAGCAGAAGGCTGGCAGCCACGCCATCCAGATGCCCCAGCTGGTGCGGGGCTCCCAGATCCAGACCATCGGGCGCAGTGTGCTGACCCCTCACAGCGGGCCACCTCCGCTCGTCATGGTGTCCAGGGGAGGGCAGCCCGTCCAGAACACCCGGCACATCATACGAGTCAGCGGCACAGGAACTGTCAGCACAACATCTCTGCAGACGGCTGGCTCGCAGCTCGTCAGCCAGCAGTCCCGCCCCAGCACAACAACAGCCAATGACAGCCAGTCGGCAGCAAGCCGCCAAGCGGCTGCCAAGTTGGCCCTCCGCAAGCAGCTTGAGAAGACCCTGCTACAGATCCCTCCGCCAAAGCCTCCCCCACCAGAGCTCCACTTCCTGCCTAGCGCGGCCAACAACGAGTTCATCATCCTGGTCGGCTTGGAGGAGGTGGTCAACACCATCCTGGAGGTGGAGAAGGACTCCAAGCGGAAGACGCCACAGCGCTTCACCGACCCATTCCGCTGTGCCCAGTGCAAGACGGACTTCACCACTATTTGGAAGCAGGATGCCAAGCAGGGCATCATGTGTGAGACCTGCATCGTCTCCAACCAGAAGAAGTCCCTCAAGGCGGAACACACCAACCGGTTGAAGACGGCATTTGTCAAAGCGCTACAGCAGGAGCAAGAGATTGAGCAGCGGATGCAGCAGGGCCAGAACCCAGTCATCCACAGCGTGAGTACCCTAGTTAGTCTCTGTAGTCATTGTGGTAAGCTGAGGGAAAGTTGTTAGGTATGCCATAATTGACTATACTATGTTTGGCCCTTCAATACTGGAATGAGACTATTCCACAGTCAACCTTTGTAAGAACTTTGCATGAAAGGGATTTATGTCTTACATGTTGTATTGCAGAGGATCACAGAACTTTCTTTTAAGTGTCATTGCAAGCCACACATACTCGGCTTCCTGGCGTAATACGCGTGGCTGTTTGGAGCAAACCACGCACCTATCCCTGTCCCACTGAACCAGAACATACCGGCCCACCCTCAGTCAACAAGTGCTCCTTAGGCCGAGTAGTGATAATTCATTGTGCTTTGTCAGACATTGCCTCATGATTCGACCGCATACATGTGCTTGCTCTGCTATGCGTTGACACGTCTCTGTGTGGTGTCCCTCCTTACGCAGAGCCAGCAGACATCCAGACAGCACCACCAGAGCTCCCAGCTCCAGTCGGCCAGGCAGCGAGTCATGAACCCGGTACCCCATCAGCAGCAGCGCACGGTGCTCAACCCTGCCCCCAACACCCAGCGAGTCATGCAGCCAGTCACCTACACCTACATACCCCATGTTAGCGGGGTGAAGAACTCAAACCAGGCGTTTGCCTACAGAGTCCCCTCGTCCCAGGTCCGTTGTTTCTGCATCCCTGAAATTCTCCCTACCATCTTCAGGGTTGAGGCTAACACGAATGTGAATATTTGCACTGCGGATTCGCATAAATTGAACAAATTTCTTCTGGAGCAGTTTTCATGCCAAATGTTTTGTGATATCATATTCACTTTGTATGTATGGTCCCTCAATGAGTTCTTGATGTGATGTTCAATTTTGGAAAGAACTTTATTCTCCCTGTTTGTTTCTTGCACTTCAGATTCAGATGGTGAGCAAGAACCAGATTTCTAGCAGTCACCACTCGGCAGCAGCCCGGCAGCGGGAATACCTACTAGACATGATCCCGTCCAAGGTGCTCAATCAGAACCCTGCTGTCCCGTGGAAGAGATGAGCCCTCCTAGCCAGCGTTCATTCTCCCCCTTCCAATCCCCAACCCTGATTGTGTTGAAATAGCTTCATACAGTCTGTAGAGGGCACTTTTTTTCTCTCTTCCTGATCGGCCAAACACTGACGTGCTGTCGTAAGAAAGCATACCCGGGGATCATTTAGCCTTCTCATCTGTGAAAATTGGGGGGGTTGATATGCTGGGCATTGTTTGGTGTGTGAATCTGGCAGCATGCAGGAGATGCTGTCCATCTACTCATGTAACCCTTAAATTGGTGGTATTGAGGGCCACGGTCAGGAAATGAGAAATCGCTGGTGGTCAGCTCACCTGGTCTGGTTTCTGAAAGTGCACTCATTGGCCAATGTATGTCCGAGGTCAGTGAAGAGTACACTGCTATTGGCCGTGGATGGCGAAGCTTGAACCGGAATCCTCCGCACTTTGCAGGTCATTCAAGCCCGTCAGCTCATTTAAAAATAAATCTTGCTTCTTACGTTGTCTTCATGATATGATGTTCCACGTAATCGGCCAGATAACCGAGCCCCTCAGGTGAACGGAAAGTATCTGAATCCAAACACCTGCAGGTTATTGCAGAAGGTGCTGCATCCTGATTTCTCCGACATGATATTTTAGTTTCACTTCTTATGACGGAGAGCCACAAAAGAACGCTCCGGTCTTGGCAGCAGTTCCAAGAGAGAAACCTACTCCTTGTTTCAAGCAGACAACCTCTTGAGTAGGAGGCTAACCAAGTTGCCCCAAAGTGGGATTACCTTGTGTTGAAACGGGCCACTGTTAATTATTTATCGTTATACAGCTCGAAGAGCCGATGGTAGCCGGGGGAAGGGTCCCTCCATAACAGTGGCTGTGATAGATTATGATAGGCTTTATTTATTTGCAAGTGGGTCACATCTGCTCTAATTCACTGTAAATTTATTTGGACAGACTTAATTTGCAATGTTTGCTCAGTTGGTTTTAACAAAAGTGGGAAAAGAAGAAAAATGCAAGAACAGTGAAATAGCAGAGAAGCAAACGAGAATGTTCATCTTCCTGACCAAAGCCTTACAATTGCAATGTTGCTCAGATTATTTGAATATTGGAGCATTAAGGGTTGGACAGATTTGGTCAGCAATTCATGTTTGTATGTAAAGCGATCTAAAGATTGTAAATACTTGTAGTTTATGAACACCGTTGTTATTGATATGACATAAAAAACTCCTGTAAATTATTTAATGGTGAATATGTTATCTTCCATGGTTAGCCCACAACAAAAGGGTTTGTCTCTGAGCATGGGACAGGTGCCAAAATTCCTCTTCAATGGGAGTGGTTGGGTAGGGAGAGCTTTTTGTATGGAGTGGTAAGTTTTTTGGGGGTGGAAAGGGTGTAATCATAAAAATCAGTGAATATTCCCAAGAGTTTTCTCCCTGTTGGTCTAGCCCTAGACGTGGGCAAGAATACCATAGTCCTGTGCATGGGGGAAAAGTGATTCGACTTGCATGTTCCAATCTTGGTAAATTCCAAGGTCTGATCAACTGATGAGCATTTGTTTTTGTGTATCGTGTATGCGCATGACGGAAGATTCCATCCCACCGGACGTTCATCTGAAAATCTTTTTTTTTTAAATACTCCAATTAGGTATTTATGTGTTGCAAATTGAAAAATGTAAACTATCACAATTGGATATTTAAGATTTTCTGAAAGGAGAAAAAAGGAATAAAAAAAGTTATTTATTCAGATTAACCGAGTACCGAATTCTCCCAAGGCAAATACTTTCCTGTGACATTAACAGTGGTATCTGTCCAATATAGGGATGGCTTAATTTTATTTCACGTAATCTAACCTAAAAAAATGCAATATTTAATCCTCAATATTCCAAGGGGGGGATTCATCAGCTGGCTCACAGTCAACATGGATATTTCATGCTTGCCGAAAAGTACTATCAGTGTCCTAGATTTTTCAGATGGGGGGGTTTCACGGTTGAAAAAAAAAAAAAGGTTCTTGTTACAACAGTCAGCAACTCATAACTTAACTAGCTGGAGACTGATTCAACACAAATAACTGCAAGTAGGTGAATGGAATGTGTGACTAACCTGACAATTAAGATTGTACTTTTGTGGGCATCATAAAGAGAGTGTAATAATTCTGTTGCCAAAGGGAGTGATAAATGTTCTTTTTTCTGGCCACAAAGGAGTCCTGGAGTGGAAATAGTTTGGTCCAGAGCTGTTTATAGAGAGAGTTGCGAGTATCTCAGTCGGGACAAAAATGGTGGTTCATGAACACCGACAGCACATGATGAGCAAGTTCGGTATTTCAACAGGGCATGCCCACTATGAGGCTATTTGGGAACGGCTACACGTGCCCAATAGTCTGTTTTATCAACGCACCATACACTGACTCGCGTGCGCTTTGTTCCCAAAAGACCTTGGCTTTTTGAAATACTGAACTGGCTCATAGTTGCATGATGTACTGCACTCATAATAAACAGCCATGTTGGTTCCCAAAGGCTGAAGATGGCGCAACTCTCTCTCTCTCTAGACAGCTCTGGTTTGGTCCAAGTCTTGTGTTAATGTTCGTCTTCAGGAAAAAGACCAAGGACCTCAAGAGGCTTTTTCATGATCACAAAAAAATGAAGTCGTACTCCTTCATTTCTGAGACTGACATAAGGCCCCCTCCCGTGTGGAAAAATATGCAAATCCAATTCCACTCAAACTGGGCCGTAAGCATTCCCTGTGGGGAAAACAGTTTTTGTTTGTGGAGAAACAAGTCTTGTGAGGAATGTTCCGATGTTACAAGGTAATTTTTTTTTTTGTTTTTTGGGGGATGTGGGACTTGATACATCTTCTGTTAAACGGTTTTGTGATGTTGTCTACGTGTAAGTTACGGGGGACAGTCCTGTACAAACTCTTTGGGGGTGTTACAAGAAAGTGTAGAACATTAAAGATATTGGTATTGTAATAATAAAAGCATTGATGATTCATTGTTTTTTTGTTTGGCTGTTCCATGTGTCATTTCACTGTCTAAGCAGGATGGGTACATGTATTTCACAGCTGAAGACATTTCTGTAATTTTCATAGAGTGCCTTCCAGTTCATTTCCGAGTGGCATATTTCGTTGCACAGAACAGATGGGATCTCAGGCTATTCATGGTGAAAGACAGCAATAAGTGGAAAGGCTTGCAGTAGCACCATGCGAAGGAAGATATCTCAGAGTATGTGAGGTTCTGAAAAGAACCGGAAGTATACTCGTTTTGGACTGAGCATGCTGTCCGCTCGTATATTGCCCTGCCTGTGTTCTGTGGTCATTACAGGCAGCAGACTTGCAATTCCAAAAACTTAGGGATCAAAGTGTGACATTTTTGAGTCCCTGTTACACTTGACCTTTGTTATTTGACATGGAAATATCACCAGAATTGATTTCAAACTATTACTATTTGTTTGGAAGATAATTGATACTAGATACAAACTAGTCCAATGACTTGGAATTCTCCATTTGTCCTTTGAGTTTATTCAAATATCAAAAGAAATGCTTTGCTCTATATACATGAAGCATTGATTCAATGCGGCACAAAAAATCACAGAAATCTCAGGCTAAAAATAATGCAAATCAAGATTATTTCACCTAATGCACTTTATTAGTTCACCTAGGCAAATACACACGTGCCACTTGCATATCGGGATAAATATGTATACGTAGTCCAAAACCCCCCACTAAAGATTGGAGCACTCTGGGTATAAACCACCATCGGCAGCTTCCAGTGGCTGTTTAATAGGTATTTTGTTCCAGGCTACCACTGTCACATGATGCACCATACCAAAACTCATGTGACCTATACAGTGAGTATCACTCCCACAGTAAAGTGTGTTTTAAGTGTTGACCAAAAATAAAACTGATTTCAACTATAGCACTCAACACATCAGCAGTCTGAGTATTGTACAGGTTAAATGACATGTATGATGCACTTAGCTATAGGAGGACTTTGTGTTTGTTGACGTCTTTAACACCCACTACATGTGACTCGGTAGGTGCAATCAGTCTGTTGGGACCATATAGGCAAGGTGCAGTTAGTAATGACACCACATGTTGCTATTGGCTCTATGAAGTGTCAAAACGGTGCTGTGTTTTGCCCCGAGTAGAGAGGAATTTGCATTCTGCTGTTCAGTGCACATTTCAATTTTTGGCATTATACATTATGTGCAGTATAAACACTTCATTATCGATGCATGGCACATGACTCAGACTCGGCCTTGGCAATAAGGGCCAGACATTGGTCAACCTGTAGCTTGATCTGCTGCAGTTGACCACACCAGTGGCCCTACAACAAGTATCCTGTCATGGGGGGGTGTGGTTTGACGTGGGTGGCAACATCGATCACTGTACCCTCAAGGGTACACTTTGTTCTGTTAAATAAACAGGAGAAAAGAGGCGCGAGGCTGACGTTGCGTGCACTGGCCAGATGGAACTTATGAACCATATTTTTTAGGAAAAACTAACATCTCCACTTGGGCGCTGGCCATTTTCTACCAAAATGGCTACAGCAAGCCCCTGTGGACATCATGAAAATGGAACGAATGACAAATTCGAAAAACATACCAACTACAGCATTATTGTTGCTTAGAGTGGCAGATGTTACTTATACACAGTGACACCCGGAATTAAATTGTGTTCAAAACGACAGGAAAACACTGCTCCCATATTTTGTGTTCAAGAACATCTGGACTACTGCTAGCATACCATCTACGAACCCCGCATTCTTTTGTTTATAGTTTCTCTCAAGATTTCCAGTCTTATAAATGCTGCCTGCCTTTAAGGAACCTGCCCAAAAGCTTGAGGATACACAAAAGCAAAACTGCCAAGTTTGAATGCGGTGTCTTTGCTTTAACATTAAGGCCAGGAATACCATGCACAAAGGGTCGGAGAATTACATATTACATGAACATACTTTCAGGCTTCAGCAGAAACTTATGAAAATAGCATCTATAAAGGTTAAGAAAAATCTTTTGCCAATAAAAAGTGAATTGATGTTCGCCATTCCACCCAAACCTGCCAGTCTAGCGCTGTCGTCGCTTGAATTTTCAGGCACTTTGGGACCGTGCAGCCAGTTGGAAAATCGGGAGATACGGTGACATTTCAGGGAAGCCACTGAAATCTTGCTTATGAAGCACTACTTCACTTTTACTCCAGTGATGTTTGTGCTACTCTATTCTTCAGCGCCGGAAAATTGTGCATACAGGAAGCATTAAAATTGCACCATACAATAACCCCCCCCCCAAAAAAAACTGTCGTGCTTTGTATGTATAAATTTGTAACTCTTATTAAGAATCACCTACTGATTACTTTCAAAATGTATATATATACACAAGATAATGAGGACAACATACAGTTGTACATTTGTTTAAGACTAACCCATCACATTGTGGCAGCGGCAATGTAATAATTGATCTCATCTAAAACTTGTGTTCACTGAAAGCATTTTGGCATTCGAAGAAAACGATGCTAATTACTTCATTTTAGTCCTACTGGGTGTCTGCTGTGAACATATCTGAGTTGCATTTCTCCATAGGCCCTCGACACAAAAAGAGGGGAAATCACTGTTGAAGGGTGCACACTCTGTCATTGACTTGAAATGGGATGGCCGGAGCAAGGCTGTGCAAGCATAGATCCTTGTTTAGGCCAACAGTGTCGGTGTCAAATGAAATTTGGACACGCATAAAATCCAGTCACTTCAAACAGCATAATATGGACTTTCAGTCTCACATTTGACAGTGAGTTTGCACTCTACTGAGAACCAAACCATGTGCAATGAAGTCCATACATCAATACATCCAGAAATCCAGATTTCACATTAAATGGATCAATAGCTGACTTACAGAAGTCATTCATACCCCCCCCATGAAATTCAACATACTTGATATGTAGTTTATCTAAATACTTAAATATCAACATTCTTTGCATTATTCTGCATGTTACTAAATGTAGATATTCTCGGAAGTACATGTATTAAAATATTGGATACACATCTACTTTGGAATTTGTGGTGTATGGTTGGAGGATTCAACACACCAAAATACATTATTTTGCTGGAAAACCAAATCAAAACAGAAAAGCCTAAGAGAGACACCTTGCCAGTCCAATTGCTATGTGATGTGGTTTTTAAGCACAGTCTTTCCCTGAAGCATTCTTTTTCTCTGCCAAAGTGAACTTTTGATTTTTCTAAAGCTGTTTCTGGGCATAGTAATCCAACACCATCCCTTTCCCCCACTTTTTTGGGGGAGGGGGGGTCCAGCTGTGTGGATATCCCTGTCTGTGCTGAATTCATCAGAGAATTTCCAAAACTGAACTGGATTTGTAGAATTCCTGTTGTGGTTGTTGCGGCTGAGAAATATGGAAGTCAGCATTCTTAATTCGTCCAGTTCCTCAAGCCAAAACATTTGAAACGGTTTTGGCATTTTGATGGAAATTTAATTTATTGGCGCTTCCTACAACAACCAATGTAAGTGTTGCAGACCAATTTTTTTTCTTCTAATATTAGTCTTGTTGACCATGGTTAGACTACGGTTATAGAAATCTGGTACAGTTGTTACAGGATGGCTTCAATACACGAAGAACTCTGAATTTCAATATTATTACTATTTACATGAAAACTCTCACATTTGTACAATATTCGAATTCGGGTGAACTGATCCACCCAGGTATTAAAATTCAATCTTCAGCATGACAATTCCACTCATATTATTTATTTTTAAACCAACTACAAATGTACAGACATTACCAGTCCACGTGCATATACTTAATAAAAAAAAAATTACTGTGGTGCAGTGAGAATTTGTTCGGTTGAAAATGATGGGGCGGGGGCGGGGAAGAGCAGGGATAAATGAAAGGCAGCTCAGGAGTGTCACTCATCCAAACCGCCTGGCGGCAGTTTTGAGGAAGGCTTAAACCTCATCTTGACTAGCTTTCTCTAAAATGCTTTCTATTCAGTTGGACTCGTCTGATGGACTGATTGACACGGGCCTGCCAAAGTAAGTTCTATTCCAGGCTACCAATGGCCCTGTTTATTACTATGCGCCATATGGAGGTGCTGCACTGAAATTGGACTGTCATATTGACAGAAAGAATTACAAGTTATAGCAGTAATTTAGACAAGACCAATGTTTGAATCCACTATTTTCTTAAAAGCTCCGTCGTCACGCAACGTCTGTGCCATTGCTAACGTGTCATCCCTATTCCTTTCCTCATGCAAGACTGAAATGATAAGCTCCATGAACGTGCATGCTATATTGACAGGTGACAGATGGAAACCGTATTTTTTTTGCCGCACAGAAGAACACTCTAGCACACTGCTTGCCAACAGTCAGTTACAATCAGCGCCCTTATCAATGGAAGGAACATCCCTTTTGTTTTTTTTTTATTATGCAGAAATAATAATTATTACGGGAAATAATGACCCTTCTCATGAGAGATTTGTGTTCGGAAAATACTGCGTTTATCATGACGCTGTTGTTCTGTACGTGAACGGCGTACATCGCTTAAACCAAGCAGTGTCCTGTTTCAACATTTGGGTCAAACTTGAAAATAGGTTTCCAATCAAATAGGTTACCATTCATCAAGTTGCATGATTGTATTTTTTTCCATGGTCGATAGGGGGCACTGTACTGAATAGAAATTTGACTCAGGGCGTTGGTTTTGGTATTAAATAGGGCCAGCTTATGCAAGCAAGCGGTGCTCTACTGTTCGGTGTACCTAAAGTGTTCTTGGTACGTGTGCATTTCTTTCACTTCCACTCGTGCACCGTCCCATCAAACAGTTCCTCACATTTCTGTATATTCCATGAAATTCCGAGCTTCTCAGAGAAAAAAGGACTCTGTAGGCCTACAGATTTTATCGCATTTTGGATGGCACATGCATGAGTGGTGGAAAGAAAGGAATCAGCAGACAGGAGGAAAGCTTGTGTGCCTCATTGTACAATCATCGCACCAATTCTGGAGTTTGGGTTTCACGTTATCATTGGTTCACGGCATCACTGGTGCCCCATTGCAGATGATGGTTGAAAATACTGCTGTATGGTGGTTGAGAAAAAAAACCTGCAAGCTCTTAGACTCATTTTGAAAAAACCTGTACATTATGACAAACAAAAGGCCAGATACTGATGTTGGGCTTTCCCAATACTGTTTATCTTCAAAGCAAATGGATGAAATTCTTCAAATTTCATTTCTGCTGGCTGAATTCAAATATATCTTATGAATCACAGGCATGATGACTTTCATACCTTCAAATTGTCATGTTAACATGAGAGACAGAACAACTTCTGAGCCTTGATACTGAGGGTCCATTTGAAAAACCTGAATTTCTGTTGCCCAACTCTCAATTTGATAACTTGCGTCGACGTCCATGCATAACGTCTAAGACTCTCGACAGTTCTGGGCAAATTTCCAGGTAAGTTTCACCTTGTTAAACTCCATCAACTTGACGTTATTGATACATTACTGGAGGGGCGGAGCTAATATCAAATCCCCGCCCCCTTAGGGGGAGGGACAGTCTTTATCTCTTACTATTACTACGCTACATCTTGTGGATTCACCTGACCAGGAATGACAGACAGGTTCTTAGTCCACCCCTTCAAAGCCTTCGGCGTTCTCCACCGCTATGCGCAGTTTCTCCTTGAGTGTGTAGTAAGATTCGTACGGAGGCAGGTCCAACCGGTTGAAACTGTTGGAAAATAAACAACAGCGATGTCATTATCACTGTGATTTTTACGTCAATTTTTAGGCAACATAAGAGAAATAAATCTGTGCCTGTAATCCTATCAAGTGAGCCTGCTGTTCTAGCCTAGAGGCTTCTTTCTCATCACAAGTTGTTCTTATTAAAACAAAGTTAATTGCCGCGAGGGGGGTTAGAGGGTAAAGGAAACTGGACATCACAACATCTTATCCAGGAGAGAAACCATCACATGGAAAATAAACATAAGTTGCCGTGATTGATTGGTTTAAGTTTGGTTTTCTTCAGGTTGATGCATTTTGTATGGGTGGTCCTAAACTTTTACAAATGACTGTACTGCACTGCGCTACTGGACAAGCTCCTGATGTTGCTGGATCACTTTCAGAGTGTGCAAGTCAGCACGCAGGCAGGGCCAAGTCTCCAAAACGACCAACAACGCACTTCATTCTGTGCATGCTCAGTTGGCTTGTAATCCACTAAGGGATTGATTAAGACGGAAAGCGCCACCATTGACCTACCAGGTGTGGGCTCGGGGTAGGGACTCTGGCTTGCCCCACTTCTCCACGGTGAACAGCTGGGGCCCGTTGCTGCCGTAGAGGTGAGCGAAGCCATTCATGGGTACCCGGGAGGTGCCTGTCACAAACTGGAGGAGGCGGGATCGCATCTCGGCATCAAACGACAAAATAGCCTACAAAAGAACAGCAGAATAATGAGGCAATTCTTTCATTGAAACTATTCCAAGTTGCTTCCAGATTAAAAGTGACAATACTGCCAAAACCTGTATGTCTTGTCCCCTGTGTCCTTTTATTATGACATCTGGACCCAATTTCAGAGACCTGCTTTGCAGACAATCGTGACAAATTGGCGCACTAAGCAGGGCACCAATCCCAAGCCATACTTTTACCAAGACTGGTTAGCTGGTTACCCATTCTTCTAAGAACACTCTCCCGACACTGGGCAAATTTCCGAGTACGGCGGCTCACTGACACTGACGCCTGATCACAATCTCCCCCAAGCAAGCACTCCTGCGAGTCCAGAGGTGACCGGCACATACCTTCCACAGCCACTGTATAACGATGTGATTTGGGTGGTAGCCTCCCCGGTAGGCAGTGTTGCTCCTCCAGTCGTTGACATTAATGTCCCCTAGCCCACTGAGCAAGAGCTGCATTGAGAGGGAAATAGTCAAGGAGACAGTCAGACGACAGACCAAGTATTCCTTGACCCTGCGCAGGTACTGTACAGGTTGTAGGTGATGCTGTGAGACTACTTGCAAAAGCCAGCAAAGGACACATTACATGAGTGCAATGGTATGCATGAGAGAATTGAGCAGGGCACCTATGATAAATTTTCGGTTGAATGTGCAAAACCTCCATTCTCTTCACGTGGCAGAAATACACTGGGGGGAAGGGTTCCCGGGAACCTCACAAGGAAACCAGTGCTGACTTGTAATTTCATTTTTGTCCCAAGGTTACATCCACGGTTGCACATCGAAACCTACTTCTCGTTACAATTTCCGTTTAGCTGATGAAAATAATGGCAGAAAAAAAACAACCATATTCCAGGCAACTACTATCAAACAAAACCAACTCCACAAAACTTGGAGTGCTCTTTCGCGTGCATTAGCAACACAAACGAGCGGTTATAGTTTTAGAAATGTGACCAAGTAAAATCAAAGGTTTTTTTCACCTCCAGCTCGTTCTCATCAAATATCTTCAGGAGGTCCAGTGGAACCAAATCTACAAAACCCTGCAAGAAAAGGTGAGAAACTATTCAGATTCCAAATTCTATTCAGAATGTGAACAAGTCATAAAACAATCCGCCATGAGGTCCTGGAGGCAAGAGGTACAGTACTTTATGATGTATATGTGCTGTATATGTGCGTTGGATTTTGTTTTCTAAAGTTATGCTACTTTCTATAACAATTGCAGCTGTTTCTTGTTATCGGTGCTCATTCTGGAGGTGCAATATCATGTGGTTTAATAATTTCTTTTCATAATGCACAAGATATTTTATTGATAAATTCAGACCCGCTGTTCTTTAAAATCATTTGAATTTCAATAAAGGTTATCAACAATTAAACATTAGGACTATTTTCATATCATAATCCCACTTCTTGGTGTTCTTGTATTGTAATTACTGTAACATGGATCTGTATTTAAACCTCTACTGAGTGGCCAGGTTCTCTGGCACATAGAAATACACAATATAATTCCTGTGCATGCACTTCTAAGGACCACACATGCTAGATTCAATATTAGAACTTGTCCAGAACAAAAGGTGTCTTCAGGTCTCGGACGGTCAGTCATCGTGTGTCTAGGCTATTATGGCACTGTTCGACTT